TATCTGTTGTGAGACTGTTGTGAAAGGTGTAAACAAGATTTTCTGTTGTAGTGTCATGTATGTTGTTTGTGCAAAACTGAGATTCCAGCTGCTGTGCTAACAATTCGGCTTTCTCAGTTTCAGTGTAGTGAATCCTCGTTGGGCCTTTAAGGGGCGGAATGTTATTGTAGCATTTAGTATACCTAGAGATTGCTTTCCACAGTGAATTATCATCTGTGGAAAGTGAGTTAAGGTAACTGGTCCAGCTGTGTTGTGCTTGTTCACGTGTAAGATACTTGACTGCATTTGACAGGCGATTAAGCAGTTGTTTGTCTTCCCTGTGCCTTGTTTGCTGAAACCTTCTTCGTGCAGCATTTCTCTGTTTGACAAGCAGTTTCAATTCTCTATTCCGTACCTCTTTCCTTTTAGGTACTTCTACCTTGGCATCGTCTCTTGCCATAGTAATTTTTTGAGTAATCTCCTGAATAAAACTGTCAATGTCATCCCCTGACTGTATCGTAGGAAGAGTGTATGGCATGTTGTTGAGAGCTTTGGCAAATTTTTGCCAGTCAATCCGAAAGGCTCTGTTGTCTGTTGTGGTATACCCACTAATGTCCAGAATCATCCTAACCGGGTTATGATCCGATGATAATTCATCCAGCACGGAAATATCCAGTGGGACACTGGTATTTCCGAGCAGGAAGAAATCGAGGATTCCGGTGGACCTAGTGGTGTACCGTGTTGGGGTTTTCGGAGCTGCTATGTGTAATCCAGCCGTGTGGGCTAAGTTTAGAATTACACGTCCAATGTCGTTTGAGTTATAGCAGTTCCACGCGCGGTGTCGTGCATTTAAGTCTCCACCTAAGATAATGTGTTTTCCAAGATTGAGTAGGATTTGTAAATCAGCCCGGACTGCAGAGCAGATACATGACGTCCCGGGGGAATATAAGTGGAGACAAAAGTGTATGTTATGGAGGTGTTTGTTGTGAGTGAGATTGCAGAGGCCTCAACGACCGAAAGCTGCGGAATTGTGACAGGGATATGTGGGATGCAGCGTTTTATCAGGATTGCAGTGCCACCCCCTCTAGGGCGGGAAATAGTAGGAGCTCTGTTGGATCTGTAGACAGCGTAGTTCTGCACGTAGATGGGTGAGGCAGGGCCAAGCTTGTGTTTCTTGTAGGAACATAACATCGGGAGTGTACTCATTTATAAAATCTCTTAATTCATGAATTTTCTGAGATAATCCATTTGCGTTCCATGTAATCACATTCAAAATATTGCATACATTACTCATGATTATTTACATTAACAGAGCCAAAAATCTCTTCAAACAATTCAAACAAAATGAATAGCTTATCAACAGTATTTTGCGTTGCCTGTAATACAGGCATCTTGTTAGTAATTTTCTTTAACACAGTTAAAAAGGAGATTCCATTAAACATATGAACAATGTCTTTAACTAGTTTAGTGACCTCAAAGAGACCAGAGAGGCCCACATCATTTCTATTCTGAACATTATCATTAATATTACCATTGTTATTATTTACATGTACGTCATTTTTTCCCTCAGATTTTTTACGATTAACACTTTTAACATTTGTGGTGCTAACCTCGACTTTTGTGTCAGTACGTCCACTAACAACATTAGCATATGACACACCTGGTTGGACAGGGTTACTGTTAATTGCAGTAGGTTTAATAACAGAGGGAGTAGGTTTTCCTCTGCTGGTCTGGGTTTTGGCTCCCTGATATACTGGAAATTTGGGACACCCACGATAATTCGCAGGATGCCCCGTTTGTCCACAATTGCAACATTTGACATTATCAATGAATTTACCGGAGCAGTCCTCCGTTTTATGTGCACCAGCACATTTCACACAGCGTGGCTTAAGCTTACAATTGTCGGAGGAGTGGTGGAAGTGCTGGCAGTTGTGACACTGCACAGTACTTCCATTCACTTGGTAGGGCTTAAAGTTAACGTAAAAACCTAGGAATTTAGTGATATCATAAATTTTTTCAACTTCATGCATTTTTTCAACTTGAATTTGAAACAAGGGCATGGGGACTCTTGTTCTTATCCTATGCATTTGTGCAACGCGTCTGACCTTATATCCTAACTGTGTTAGTTCTTCGTGAATGTCCTCTACCGGACAGTCGATGGGCATTCCTCGCAGTACGACTTTAAGTGGCTTTTCCATTTTTGATAAAATAATGTAATGATCAATTTTTTTCTCGTCTAAATATCTGGTGATTGCACGGTGATCATCTTCTGATTCAGGAAAGATCTTCAAGAACTGAGGTAGAGAGGGCGTGTCTAGCCTTTTTTGGATGGTGGGTAGATGTCGAACTCTCGGCCAATTACGGCTCTCGGTCTCTTCTGTGAGCTGCGAATAGCAGGATCGTATGCTGGCATCTGTTGAAGTGCTCGATTATCAATCTGTTCAATTTTAAGGAATAAATTTTGACTATGCTTTTTGATAAGGTAATCAACAGGTTTAATGTTAAGGTCCGAATGAATCACATCTGTACGGACGTACCAGGCTGCGTTTAGGGCCATACGTAAAGTTTTACTTTGAAAATATTGAAGTTTTTTCACATGAGTTTTTGCAGCAGTACCCCAGATTGTACATGCATACATAAAGACAGGTCTTATAATGGATGTATAGAGAAGGATTTTGTTTTTAATTGACAGATTGCTCTTTCGAGCTAAAAAAAATGGATAAAGTTGGGCTCTAGCACACCTTTTCGCTTTGTTGAGAACATTTTCAATGTGAAGGCGCCAGGTTAATTTTGAATCAAGTACAACTCCTAGGTACTTGTAAGAATTTGACCAGGGAACATAGTCATCAAAGAATTTAATATTAATGGAAGGGTACGGGAGGGGGCTACGTTTGAATATCATAGCAGCACATTTAGCAACATTAATTTTTATTTTCCAAGTGATGAGCCAGTGCTCAAGGCTAGAGAGATATCTCTGAATGATTTGGACCAAGTTTTCAAGGCGTTTGTGTTGAGCTAGGATGGCCGTATCATCTGCATAAAGTGCAAGAGTGTGATACTAGGTGATTTTGGTATGTCATTTATGAAAATGTTGAACAAAATTGGGCCTAAAAGTGACCCTTGGGGGACGCCGCTTAGTATAGGACGGGGTGCCGAAATGAAAGAATTAACTCGTACAGAAAAAGATCTATTAGTGAGGTACGAATTAATTATATGAATTAAATGGGCCGAAACGTCAAGTCGTATGAGCTTGATAATAATTCCTATATGCCAAGTCCTATCAAATGCTTTGGCTATGTCAAGAAATAAAGCGCCAGTAAGCATTTTGTTACGAAACCCTTCGTGAATGAACTCCACTGTCCTCAACAGCTGGTGCGTAGTGCAGTGTTTTGCTCGAAATCCAAATTGTTCATCAATCAGAACGTTGTGATTTCGGAGAAAATCATTCAGGCGTTTAAGTAACACGAATTCGTATGTCTTTGATAACGATGATAGGAGGCTGATAGGTCTATAATTTTGAGGGTTTGAAAGGCTTTGGAATAGGCACAATAAGTGCTTGTTTCCAGCTTTGAGGAAAATAACGATGATCAATCATAAAATTTATAAGCATTACTAAGAAAAATAGATAACTGGTGGGTAAATTTTTAAGGCACTTGAAAAAAGATATGATAATAAGAGACTGGTTGTAAATTCTCATATCAATGAATTACTTTTTATTGAAAAAATAGTTTATGAAAATCCTGAAGATTTACGCTCATTAATTGATAAAGTTCAGAAACATTTAAGAGCATTAAAAGTTATGGAATTAAATATGGATAAATTAAGCGAAGCTTTGCTGATTAATATTATTCTTAATAAAATAGATAAAGAATCGCGTAAGCAATTTGAAATGTCATTAAATAGTAATGATTTATGTGAATGGGATTCTTTCATGACATCTCTTCAAAAGCGATGCCAGATGTTAGAAAATATGCAAAACAAAACTGTATTTGCAAAAACAAAACAAAACATTCCTCCAAATAAAGTTCGATCGTTAGTGACAAAAACGAATAATAATAATAAATTTATGTGTCCCGGTTTGCAAAGATAATCACGCAATTTTTAAATGCGAAACATTTCTAGCATTAAATCCAATGGAACGATACGAAATGGTTAAAAAGCTTTCTTTGTGCATTAATTGTTTACATTCAAATCATAAAGTAGCTTCCTGTCAGTCTAGACACTTTTGCTCGGTTTGCAAATCAAAACATAATTCACTTCTTCATCGGAATGACGGATCCATGTCGTCTGCAACAAGTGGGGGAAAGCAAAGTGAAACTACGCCCTCCCCAGAGAACCGCAAAAATGAGGCTGTTTTGAATAGCAATAAATCAACAGAAAAAGCCTTATCGGCGTGTCTTTTTTCGAAAAATAAAACTGTTCTCCTTTCAACTGCGATTGTTTGGGTTAGAAATATTTATGGCCAATTCGTTAAAGCAAGAACAGTTCCTTGATTCAGGCTCAATGTCAAATTTTGCTACAAATGAATTCTGTGAGCGTGCAAATTTAAAAAAGGAAAGAATAAATATTCCAGTTTCTAGTTTAAATGGGCAAATTTCAAACATTAAATCTCGTACTTTTGCTTCTATTTTTAATGGAAATAATTCGTTCTCTGCTTCATTAAAATTTTTAGTTGTAAATAAAATCACAGATTTAGTACCTTCTACAAAATTAAATATTGAAAATATAGATATTCCTAATACATCAAGTTTGGCTGATCCAGAATTTGCAACTCCATCTAGTATAGATCTGCTTTTAGGAGCAGAAAATATTTATGACATTTTTATTAATGGACAATTTAAATCTTCTACGAAATCACTCGTTTTCAGAAATTCTGTGTTTGGTTATATAGCTACTGGTTCTTTGAAAACATCCTTTTGAAAATTGTCAGAATTATTGTGGACTTATCGGTAATGTTGATAATATTGATAGATTGGTAGAAAAAATTTTGGTTAGTGGAAAATATTGGTGAAGAAAAGCCAATGCTTAGCCAAGAAGAAGAATTCTGTGAACAACATTTCAAAGACACTTACAGACGAAATGAAGATGGCAGATTTATCGTAAAAATGCCTATGAAAGACGAACAATTAGGAGATTCAAAGCACTTAGCCAACATTAGACTCAATCAATTAGTTAAACGTCTTAGCAAAAACGCTACATTGCAACATTTATATCAAGATTTCATAACAGAATATGAAAATTTGGACCATATGGAAAGGGTCGATGATAATTCAAAACCGGAACTTGAATATTACCTTCCCCATCATGGAGTATATAGACCAGAGAAGTCAAGTACAAAATTAAGAGTTGTGTTTAATGCTAGTGCCCCAAGCTCAAATGGCTTAAGTTTGAATGATTTACTTTTAGCGGGAGCAGTCCAAGAAGATACTTTTGATATTCTTGTGAGATTTAGAAAACATCAAGTTGCAGTTATTGTGGATATACAAAAAATGTACCGGCAAATTTTAGTTGATGAATCCCAAAGAGACTTACTTCGAATCTTTATGGAAGAGAAACCTTAGCGACTCACCTGTGACATATAGACTCAAAAACGGTGACTTATGGTACTAAAAGTGCTCCATTTTTAGCCATTAGATGCATAAAGCAAGTTGCATATGACGAAATGCATAAATATCCTGAAGCTGCCAAAGCTGTCTTGTCAGACTGTTATGTTGATGATGTCATCTCTGGTTCATCAAACTTAGATTCAGCAAGGGAATTGAAAAATCAGCTTATACAGCTTTTTCATAGTTGTGGAATGACTTTGCACAAATGGAACTCTAATTCTCCTGAACTGTTGGATAGCCCTTCTACAAGCTCTGAGCTTTCATTCTCCTCCAAAAGTGATAATGTGGTTAAAGCTTTAGGCATTACATGGAATTCCCAGAAGGATGAATTCAGTTTTATAGTCTCAATCGAGGAGAAATCATCATATACCTAAAAGAGACATTTTATCGACAATTGCCAGACTTTATGATCCTTTAGGACTGATTGGTCCGGTAATCACCAAAGCCAAGATATTTTTACAGAAATTATGGGTTCAAAAACTGAGTTGGGATGAACCACTTTTTGCAACTATTGCTCACGAATGGCAACAGATAGTTTCAAATTTAAAGACTGTGGAAAACATAAAAATTAATCGTTGCATCCTCTCCAATCATCCAAGCAAGATTTCACTCATTGGATATGCAGATGCTTCGGAAGCCGCTTATGGTGCAGTTGTCTACTTGATTTGTGTCGATGAAGATCACGGCTCGTCATCTCATCTACTAGCCAGCAAATCTCGTGTGGCTCCATTGAAAACTTTATCTATTCCAAGATTGGAACTTTGTGCATGTTTGTTATTGGCTCATCTGATTTCGAAAGTTAGCAACTCATTGAAGATGCATTTAGATGACATCATTCTGTGCACTGATTCAACGATAGCACTGTCATGGTTGAAGACTTCTCCTCATCTTTTGAAGACCTTTGTTGCAAATAGAGTCTCCAAAATCCAAAGACTAGTAGAGCCGCGACACTGGAAGCACGTATCATCAGCAAATAATCCGGCAGATCTGATTTCTCGTGGTGCTTATCCTCATGAACTTGTGACATCTTCCTTGTGGTGGAATGGTCCTGAACAGAACGAACTTAGTGATGCTTCTTTATTTGAACTTGACAAGACTCTCATAGATTCTCCTGCTTATCAGGATGAACTTAAAAAACCTTTAGACGTTAATTTGAACTGCAATTTAAACTTGTTTTGGAATACCTTTTTTGAATTAACAAATAATTATGTTAAACTAATTAGAAATTTAAGTCTTATTTTCAGGTTTCTGTCCAATCTGAAAGGTCCAGTGAAGAAAACAGGCCCCATTAGTAGCACTGAATATCAAGATACGGAAATGCACTTGATAAAAATGGTTCAGGTAATAGAATTTGCAGAGGAGATTAAATCACTTCAAGATCAGAGAGTAATCAAAAGTCAGGTAAAAACTTTAAATCCATTTTTAGATGGAAAAGATATATTACGTGTGGGCGGTCGCTTAACTCATGCCACAATTAATTATGACTCTAAACATCAAATTTTATTGCCAAAAAATCATAAGCTTACCAAGCTAATATTATTCATTATCATTTGAAAAATTTTCATGATGGTCCTCATGCATTATTACATTTTGTTAGGGAAAGGTTTTGGCCCATTGGTGGCAAGGACTTAGCTAGAAAAACAGTTCATGAATGCTTAATTTGTTTTCGTCATAAGCCTATCATTTCAGATCAATTAATGGCCGATTTACCTCCTGAACGTGTAAATCCAAATCTAACCTTTCATGACACAGGGATAGATTTCACAAGCCCTTTTTTAATCATATATAGAAATCAAAGGAAAGGTAGTTTACATAAAGTTTATATAGCAATCTTTGTTTGCTTAGTTACAAAAGCGATTCATTTAGAAATAGTATTTGACTTAACATCTGAAGCCTTTATTGCATGTTTTTAAAACGATTTTTTTCTCGCGTAGAGGTAAAAGCTCATGTCTGTTTAGTGACAATGCAACTAATTTTGTAGGAGCTCACAAAGAGTTAAAGAAACTTGCTTCTTTAGTTACTGTCCTGATGAAGTTTTGGGTAAGTATTTGGCATCTGAAAATATCTCTTGGAAATTTATTCCTCCTCGTGCTCCCCAATTTTTGGTGGAATTTGGGAGGCCGGAATCATCAAGTCTTTTCAAATTTCATCTTAAAAGAACTATTTCCGATGCTAAACTAACCTATGAAGAATTTTTAACCATAATTGATCAAATTGAAGGAATACTAAATTCGAGACCTCTTTCTCCTTTATCGTCTGAACCTTCAGATTACGAACCCTTGACGCCAGGTCACTTTTTAATAGGTAGACCCAGATAAACTCAATTGTAGAACCTCAAATTTTAGATTGTCAGAAAGCAGATTGTCAAGATGGCAAAAATTAACTAAAATGATACAGATTATATGGAAACGATGGATAACTGACTATCTTAATCACTTGCAACAGCGAAAGAAATGGTATTTTTCAAAGGACAATATAAAGAAAAATACATTGGTTATTATTAAAGATGATCATTTACCTCCATTTAAATGGTTATTAGGAAGAATTGATCAGACAATTCCTGGTAAAGATGGTAAGATACGAGTAGCAGTCCTTAACACAAAGTTTGGTCCAATTAAAAGGCCAATATCAAAAATTTGTTTATTGCCTATTGAGGATATTGAGGAATTTGAAATACTTATTTAATGGCATTTCAAATTGCTATTGAGGCATTTCAAAACCTTTACATACAAATGAAACTGCTTACCTATTACAGGTTGAGCGGTATCCTTTCGAACAAGTTGTAGTTATTTTCCTTTACTTGTGGGTATTATTCTTAAATTGTGTCTATTCTTTGGTATTAACCGTGAAAGCTACCTGAAATTATCCCGTTACTCGCAACGGCTGCATTTGTTCCATGGAAGAGTCCAACATTTGTAGGTATGATATTTGAAAACAGGGATGAGGTAGGAAGATGGGAAAATTATACGTATTTAGACATTTGCTACTTCCATTTCCGGCTCGTGCTTTGTGTGTGCAGCTAGCGCTTCGTTAGTACGAATATAATATTTATAATTCTTGTTTTTACCGATCGTCTGCTCTTTTTTTAGTTTTGATTACCTGATTCTAAAAATTCTGCGTTAAATTTAAATAAGATAGGAAAGAAATAATACTTATTCCTTATACAAAATGGAATTAAAACCCTAGTTGTTCTTTCACAAGGAAATACAATAATCTTTTCGTATAAAGATAGGCCTTTTAAAGATCAACCAAAATATATCATACTAAAAGACAAAATTAAAAGAAAGTTAAATAATTATGCTTTGTTGTTATGATGTTAGCGGTAAATATTGTAAATATCAAAAATTTACAGTTACAATTTTCTACAATACCTCAAGTAAATAGAAACTTTATAGTTACTTATTGTAACTTCATGTAATGCTCAGTTACTTTACCGAAATAAGAGTTCTATTAACTATTAGATTTCGTTGGAATAAAGAAGATTATGTAATTTCGCCAAAACGTTATGCTTTAATAAAATTTTAAATAAGCATACAATGCGTACAATTTAAATTAAAAAAGGTATCGAAATATTATTTTTGTTTCGTGAAGTGATAAAAATTAATCCGTCATTAAAAAAATGGTCAATAAAACATAGAGTATAAAAATACGCAGTGAAACTCCTTCCACGGTTTAGAAATAAATCTGAAAGCATATCTCTAGTGCCGACTAAAAGCCATTCCACGATCTACACTCTTTCCGTTGCAAGCCATTCCGGAACCTTTCCTTTTCCTTCCTCTTACCTGTGTAAATTGAACTCGCCCAGCTAACAAAAGCAGCCGTTCCGGAATTGACGGTCTAGTGTTACTGCCCAGTGATATAAGCTCTTAAACGAAAAAAACGACGCACCAAGAAGAAGTTATCCGAATGGGACGAAAATCGGTAGAAGTGATGTACATGTACAGGAAAAACAAATGATTACAGTTTGAGAAAAATTGGATGATTTAATTAAAGTGATAGAGCTTAACAATGTGAAAAAGTCAGTAACGCGTTTGTCCACCTCTGGCCCTTATGCAAGCTATTCGGCTTGCCATCGATTGATAGAGTTTACGGATGTCCTCCTGAGGGATATCGTGCCAAATTCTGCCCAACTGGCGCGTTAGATCGTCAACATACCAAGGTGGTTGGAGGGCCCTGCCCATTATGCTCCAAACGTACTCAATCCACGTTTGTCTTTATATCTTTTAATCACTTCTTCTTGTCATTGGCTGGTTTCCTTACATATGTGGCCACATCCCAAAGGGAGGTGTTTTGAAACATCCTTTTCCCGATCAGTCCAGCAGATAAGCAAGCAGCTTTCGATTTTGTATCCAGCGTGGAAAAAATTAAAAGTAAGTTATACTTTTCATTTGTGTTCTACATGTTTAATACTTCTTTGAATGTTCTGCGTTATTTAGATTAGAAAAATAACTGTTCTTATAATTAAATGCCAATGCTAATGATTTCAAATTACGGAGTGCCTATGGTTTAAAACCATTTACCTCCTCATCAGAATTAAATAAAGTGAGCTGAAATAAGAAAATTGCATTAGTTAGTTTACTTGATATGAAATTTTAGTTTTTATAATCATTTTTCAAAATTTTAAACTTTTTTTGTAGTTTTATATTTTAAGATTTTTTTTCCTATTTTTCTTAGTTTTATATACACAATACAAACACTAAAGCAAAAAGCAGATAGGAAAGATTTTACGATTGATAGGCTCATTGGCATGTGGCTAGATGTAATAGTGCAAATATAACAAGGTAATCACGAGAAAATATTCAAGGCAGAAGTAAATTCTGAGGGAAGATGTGATTTTTAAAATAACAGATTGATAATTATGTAAAAGGCCACGTTTCAGATTGATGTGAGCAAATTATAGCGAAGATGGGTAAGCTATTGGCATATTATAGCAGCGTAACAAGAGACGTCCTTCCTTCATGGAAGTTGGGCTGGAACTCAAGAGACGTCCTTCCTTCATAGAGGTTGGGCTGGAACTGAAGTTGGAGGGTCAGTTCCGTTAGCAATAGTCTTTGGCAGCATGTAGCAGATACACCGCTTTAACTGCTTAAATGAAATAATGCCCGAGGCAATGGAAAATGGGGATAAAGGCGATACGCCCCGCCTTATAGGCGAGCCAATACGAGCGGACACAAGTGGAAAAAGAGAAAAATCAAACATCTGACAGCCGTTCGAGCTGCTGATCAAGAAAAACAGTAAAGCAATTATAGTGGCATAATCGAAGGCAATAGTGATGTAAAATTGAAGGAATGCTGACACAAGGAGATGGAACGTGAATTGAATGGCACAGAAGAGGCGTGGTCAAACAACAAATACAGGTCAGCGTTATACATTTGGTAATAAAGTACAAGCATTTAAAAATTTTAAAACACCAGGTAAATTTCCAGGCTTCAACATTAGATATAGTTGGTGAGTCTTTGAAAATTAAAATAGAGTTTTTGTTGAAACAAAGTGAGTTGAAGACACAGTAATGACAAGATACAAATTCTTGCTGTAAGTCGGAGTTCGATGATTAAAGTACATAATAAATCTGTGTATTGGTGGGAGATTAAAATGAATGAACGATCAAGCAAAGTCTATATCTTTGCAGAGGTACAGTCTATATAATGCACTATAAAAATGAACAGTTGACAAAGTCTCTTTCTTTGCAGATGTTGAAAAATACACAATAAAATAGGAAAAGTTGAAAAAGTCTCTATCTTTGTAATCACATTACACTATATACAAAACAAGTCTCCATCAAAGTCTCTATCTTTGCAGAGGCACAGTAATTAAGATAGAAAGTCTCTTGTTAAAGCACAGTTCGAAGTAAAAATACGTATCATCATCATCATCATCATCAATATTGCCGGCATATTGCTGTTTTTACGCAATGTTTCCGGCTCTTAACACATAGGCCCGAAGGGCGCATGACGGTAGTTGGCAATGACGATTGAAAGGAGGCATCAGTAGTGAGAAGAGATGGTGACAGCATGACGTCACAAGTTTAGAGAAACACGCAGACGAAGCCCAAGACCAGGAAAGGCGAAAAATGCGTATAATTTTAAAAACACAAATTTTTTACTCCACGTAAAGTAAAAACCGGTGGCTATGAAATAACTTCGAAGAGCACAATACAGGATGTAAATCACTGGTGCTAAAAAGTCAATTAGCTTTGAAGAATGTCAAAGTCCTTGAGGAAGAGAAAAATAGCCCATTGGCTAAGTCCATAACATATCAAAATAGGTACACGTAGGTTAAAATCAAATCTTTTTATTATCTGTAAAATCACACGAAAATCTTAAATCTTCACCAATCGGGGTTGTGAAAAATTCTACGGGGTCTTTGGACCACATTTTCCGCTGTAGAATAGTAGTCAGTTAACTATTTAAGATGGCTATATCTACAATGCTCAATTTTGTTAAAGAAATTGTGGCAGGTGGACTAAATTTGGTCGTCAATGGATTTAATCTTCAAATCTTTGGTTATTTGCAGATTTCGAATAAACCAACATGCATCAACAATTTCTCTGAGAATCTTGTTTTGAAAGATCTGAAGTTTTCTACAATAAGTTTTAAAAACTGTCGCCCATACAGGAACAGCATAGAGCAGAACGGAAGGGATTAAGGTAATCTAAATTCTCTTCTTGTCTTTAATACTTAATTTAGGTTTACTGACAATAAGCGGCAGAAGGGAGATTTTAGCAGCAATTGCTTTATGAAGAGCTTTCATAGTATGTTCATAGAAAAGCAATTGGGAATCTAATTGAACTCCAAGATATTTGGTGTTAGAAACAATAGGTACAGGTTGTCCCTTAATTTTAATATTGATTTCGACTGGATTGAATTTTTTATGTTTTCTAAAAAGAAGGATGTTACTTTTAGAAGGGTTTATTTTCAATTTCCAGGTGTTCAGATAATGCGTGATATGATTGACAGCAAATTCAAGTTTTTCAACAGCAAGTTCTGGTTTGAGACATTTGATCAAAATTGCGGTATCATCCGCATATTTAAAGGCTATAGAAATCATAGGGACAGGCATTTTAGTGATATAAATGAAAAAAAAATTAGGAACGAGCACGCTGCCTTGAGAAACGCCACTTTTCATGACTTTTCTTGAAGAGAAGGTGTTATTTATTTTGACTTGAAAGGTTCTATGCTTGAGGTAACTCTTGATGAGCTTAATGAAGTTAGTGGGCAATCGAGCAAGGTGTAGCTTGAAGAGCAAGCCCTCATGCCCCACCTTGTCGAAAGCCTTTTCAAGATCTAAAAAACAACTGGCTATTGTACTTTTAGTAAAGCTCTCATGTTCGATTTTAAATTAGACATCTGTTTAAACTCTAATGTTTTCCTATGAAGTTTTTGGAAATTCAAAAATTCAATATAGGAACAAGATAGATTCGTTCTTTTTTCTGTAAACAAAAGTACTCGCGGTATACACTCATGTCCATAAATTAAGGATAATGCAAAATCAGGCAAAGGAAAAGTTAGAAGCAAAACAAATTTGACTTATTTGTAAAGCTTATTTATTAAACAAAAGGTAAAGAGCAAAAACAGATGCTATATGTTTGATATTATTAAAAAAATTAGCGATTTTTTTTTCTCCCTGGAGCAAATTACCAAAAAAAAAAAAAAAAAAAAAACTTATTTACAAAAAACCAATATTACATGGTTGGTTTGATTGTTAATACATTGTATGTCTCCCAGACGATGCAATACAGTCCGTACAACGCCTAGGCATCTGAGTATCAAATTATCGATCTGATCTTGGGGGATATTACATCACTCAAAAAGCAATGCACTCCGAAGTTCCGGTAGACATGTAGAAGGAGGTTGACGGGCTGCAACTCGTCGGCCAAGCATGTCCCACACGTGTTCTACTGGTTCAAGTCTGGTGAGAATGCTGGCCAGTCTGTACGGGTGATATCCTCCGATTGAAGGCATTCGCTTACGATATTTGCACGGTGAGGACTGGCGTTGTCATCCATAAACACAAATTGTGTGCCCATGGCACCCCGAAACAAATGTACATGTTGTTCCAGAATGACGTCCCGATAGATATGGCTTGTCATGATTCCAATTTGAACATGAAGGTCAGTTCTGGAACCCAGAATAATTCCACCCCAAACGAGCACTCCTACACCACCGTAACGGTGTCGTTCAATGATGCTTTCTTGGTGGTAACGAATACCTGGAGCTCTCCATATGAAAGTCCGGCGAGAATCAGACTGCAAGCTAAACCTGGACTCGTCGGAAAACATCACACACGCCCACTGTTGCGGTGTCCACAGTGCATGCTCTCTACTCCAGGCTAACCGCAGGCGACAGTGAGTTGCAGTAAGTGGAACGCATCTGACAGGTCTACGAACATATAAACCAATCTGCCCTAAGCGTCTGTACACGGTCTGCCTTGAAATTGTCGTACCAGTGGCTGAAGAGAGCTGACGAGGCAGGTCTCAGGCTGTGCTCCACCTGTTTGTTTTGGCAGTAACTGCCAAATACCGGTCCTTATTCGGCGCTGTAACTCTGGGGCGACCTGTGCTGTAACGTCTACTCACATTACCATCATCTTGGAATCGTTGCCAAAGCCTGGAGATGACACTCTGGGCAATTCCAAGTTCGTCTGATACTTCCAGTTGGGTACGCCCACATTCCAGACGGCCGATAATTCTACCACGTAAAAAATCATCCAAATGCGTCCTTTGTGTCATAACTATTCGGTTATTGCACTGAAATGCTTATAAAGCGCCTGCGAACAATTTTACTTCTTTGCCTGTATTCCTTATATATCACTCTCTTACACTCTCGTCATTGTGACGCATCATCGGTGTCATCTGGGTACTATCTGAAATTTGCATATGATTCTTGAAGATGTGTGTAGTGATTTTAAAGGCGATATATTTATTTTAGAGTTCGATTTCCGCGTGACTCCGAATTATCCTTAATTTATGGACATGAGTGTAGATAAGGCGCATGCAGGCTTTAATGATATTAGTCATCAAAACAATATAATTAATAGGAAGAGCTTTGAGAACTTGATTTGAAATACCATCAAGCCGGGGGCTTTTCTTGGTTTAAGTTTTTTGATAATATTTTTAATTTCAGTTGGAGAAGTAGGATTCATATATTCAGTGCCGGTGTCTTCAGAAAGATGAGAATTAAAGTTGTAAACCTCTTCTTCAGTGTCATTGTCACTAATGCTGTCATTTTTGAAGGTGTTTTCCAGGTGAGAAGCCAAGACTTCAGGTATAGCGTTCTCTTAGTATATTAGACCATTAGGAGTGTTAAGTGGGGCGATGTTGTAATCTTTATTTTTACGTAAGGCTTTAGAAATTTTCCACACCATGGTATGGACAATATCCATTGTGTCTAAAAGAGCATCCCAAGTTTCAGAGCGATAATCATTTAAAAGAATGTGGATCTCTCTGTTCTTTCTGTTAAGTATGGTTTTAAGAGCAGGATCTGCTGTACGTCGCCAAAAATTAGCAGTTCTGTTTTTAACTTTAATTTTTTCAATGATATAATTAGGGAGTTTATTTTTCTTGAATTCTTCCAACCGGGTACATTTCTCAATGGCTTTGTGGATTTTGGTATTAATTCTAGTGATATGTTCTTTAATATGGGAGATGTCAGATAAAGCAGGATGAGCAGGAATTTTCTATACGTAATAATTAAATTTACATCAGTCTGTGACTTTTTTAAGAGGTAAACATTGTTCAAATCCATAATAAGTAAATTTGACAGGAAGGTGATCAGATTGTAATTAGTGGACAAGTTGTAAATAAGGAGTTTGTTGAACAAATCCAATACTCATTCAAGCACCTCCGTTAATCCTTCCCAAAACAGTAAGGCTACACGAGCAGCTGCAACTATTCCCAGTGCAAACCTAGCTCGCCCGGAGTTTCATACTCCAGTGTCCGCACGAGTATGCAACAGCTTGCTCCCCCCATTGTTCCAAATTATTCGGTCCCCCAAGGAGCTAATTCGACGCTAAATTGTACCGATATCCTTTTGGCAATTAGTCAAATCTCCAACCAACCTGGTATTAACCAGAACAAAATTCTCTTGCGTTCAAAAACTCTCTGCCTCAGCTCAAAGTGGCTCCATCTGGTGCTGAAGCCGCCTACTACACTTTCCAGAGTTATGTCACTCCAACTCTCAGATTTCCCCAGTCATTAAAATTCAATACTTTGAAAAGGTTGAATAATCTGCAACTATGCACCTGGAATGCAAATGGCATTTCCAATAAATTTCACCAGTTTAGAGAGTATGTAGAAAAGAAGGGCTTCATCATTTTTGTCCAAGAGACCAAATCCAACCAGGGAGAGTTCCCAAGCTTGCAAATTATGCTATGCATAAAAAAGACAGGCAAGCTACTGATATTCGTGATAGATTTCTTGGTGGCACCTGTATTTATATCAAAAATAGTATTTCTCATAAAAGTATTGAAACACCTAATCTGAGCAAACTTGAAGTGACGATTGTTAAAATTTTCATTCAGAATTCACCTTGCCTAGTTTTGATCTCTGCTTATCTTCCCCCTGGAGGATAATTACCTGTGGAAGATTTTAATAAACTGCTCAGAATTTCTAACAATATGATTATTGCTGGCGACCTAAATTGTCATCACTAGTATTGGCGTTGTAGAAGATCCACCCTGCTGGACGTGGCCTTCTAAAATGGGCTCAGTGCGCTCAAATCAAAATTATTGCGCCGGAATTCCCTCGACACGTTATGATTCAGGAGAACCCCTTCTATTATTGATTTAGCTCTTTTCCGGAACATTCCCTTTGATTTTCATGTGATTGTGGAAAGTTGTTTATCCTCAGATCACAATCCCGTGCTCATCGACCTTTACTACTTTTGATCAAAATTCTCCGGCATTAGTCTCCTCCAACTGCGACAACTTTAGATTTAAACTTAAAAGTAAAAATTTACCCTCCCTTGAAATTAAGTCCAGCTCTTATATTGACGAAGGAGTTGATCAATTAACAAAAAACCCCTATTGATACCTTTAAAGACGTACCCAAACCCAGGCTTAGACCCAATTTTCGTAAGCTTATTCCAGAAATTAAAAACAAAATTCATGAAAAGAACAAGGTACGGAGACTTTGGCAAAGGCATAGGAGTCCTGCCTTAAAAATACAATTTCGTACCCTCCAGAATGAAGTCAAGGTGTCTTGTGACCAATTCTTCCAAACACAATACTCTGAATACATTCAGTCCTTAACGACCAATGATAACAGCCTTTGGCGTGCATCTGCCAGGCTATGCAAACCTAAATCTCACATTCCGTCTTTATCAAAAGACGCAATGATGGCTCACACAGATACGGAGAAAGCAGAACTACTTGCTGATAGTCTCCAAACTCAATTTACCCCACATAATGAAGGAGTTTTTGCTAACACCGTATTCCAACAGGAAGTTGAACGTTTCCTTTCCTCTCCCTTTCAGAGAAACATAAAATACACAACCTTGAGCGAAGTTAGCGAATATATCTCTAAGTTCAAACCTAAAAAGGCTCCAGTGTTGGATTCTATTTCTAATCGCATGCTTAAATTTTTACCTCCCATTTATCTATTTTTCCTAGTGATGCTTATAAATTATATCATCCTGCATTGGTATTTTCCCTAGTTTGGTTTCGCTTTTTGTGGAGTGTAGGTGCTATCCCAGTTCCGTAGGCTGATACAGTGGTTTACTCGTATTGCAACATCGTAAATTATCTGAGTCTAGTTCTGTGAAAATTAGCTGAGGCGCTTTACCTTAGGGTAAAGAAAAATGTCCTTATTTAGGACACCGGGTGATTCGTCGGATGACGACGGCCTGAATTCTGAATGTTCGCTAAGATCGACAAAATCGCAGCCAGTAGCATGGAGGAAAGATTATTTTATAAAGAAACCTAAAAAGAAGAGAACGCATACGAAATCTGTTTCCGGTTTTGGACCGAAATCCGACCGAAAAGCCGGTTTTGTAACTGGGGGAAAAGCAAGAAGAGATGATATCCCCTGGTGAACGAATTTGGAGCGGATAAGTTTTTACAGTTGTTAAAAGGTGATACTACGCATGCAAAGCAGATGATAGAATTCGTCGAGGAAAGGAAGGCAAAGAAGTCCAAAAAGAATGAAAACCAGCAGGGAAATTCCGAGGAACAGATGAAACAGATAAGGGAACGGCGAAATCACCAGAAAATTACGCACGAGAACCGTTTCAAGCAGCTAGAAGACATGAATACTGTCATGACGTGATGACCACGCATGCGCAGTTTAGCCGAACGGCCTGCAACGCCTCTCTCTCATGAGACTTACTAGAGAAGAGTAGTTAGTAGGTAGTAGCGAAGTAACGAAGGAAATGTGTTGTATGTCAGCTTAGATGCAAGATACGAAGTGATACTTGTGTGTTCATCGTTTGTACTTATTATTTTTATTTGTGTTAATAAAGTTTTGTGCCGTTAAAATGGCTGTTTTATGCAACGCACACAATATACGATACGTCTACGGTAGGAAGTAAAATACATATCCAGAAACTACACGCCCAAGAAAAAGAAGGATATGACAGTGGTGTCAGAACAGGAGGATATGTCATTCTGCAAAGTTCACGGATAAATGCGTAAGTGAGTCTTCAGAAAGGTAAGAAATTTGTTGAATTTATTTTGTGGTAAAGTGGAATTCAAGGTTACAAAAATGGCTGAAGAGCTAACGAAATCTAAGAAAGAACGGAAAGTTATGCGTTCAGCCATTACTAAAGTAACAAATGCTATTGAATCATTAATTGCAGCCGGTAACCTTGAAGACCTTGAAGAATCACTGGAAAGTTTAAAAGTAAAAGCTATTTCTTTGAAGAGCGTTAGACGAAAAAATTAAAACTTTGACTGATGTTAATGACATTGAAACCGAAATCGAAAGTGCCTTGGAATACGAAGAAAAAATTGCGAAATGGAGCTTTAGAGGCACAAAATTATTGAAAGAAAAAAGAAATAGCAATAATTCGCTAGTTTCTAATGGTTCTTCTAATGATAGTAACAATTTATCTATTTCTGGTGTCGATAAAAGTTCTGATTATAATGTTAAATTGCCGAAGATTATGATTGATAAATTTTATGGAAATGCTGAAATGTGGCAGACATTTTACAATTCTTTTGACATACGGCAATAAATCAAAACGAAAAACTATCTAAAGTAGATAAGTTTAATTACTTGCTTAGCCTGTTAGGCGGTGCAGCTTTAAAAACAATAGAAGGCTTTTCTTTATCTCCAGAAAACTACGACGAAGCTTTTAAAATTCTCAAAGGAGAGGTATGGTCGAAAAGATCTCCTTATTAATTCTTACATGCATAAACTTTTAAATTTACGGCCTGTCGGAAGTTCTAATGACATTAATTCTTTGAGGGAATTATATGATACCTGCAACGTACAAGTAAGGTCACTAAATTCGATAGGGGTCAAGACCGAATCGTACGGAAATTTACTATACCCTTTGTTAATGAAATGCATACCTCAGGATATAACGCTTGATTTTGCTCGTCAAAACGCAGATGAGGAAACTTTTAATGTCGACAACCTCATGAAATTTCTAAAACGGGAAATTGAAAGTCGCGAACGAACTTCATTAAATCTATTTTATTCTAAGAGTCACGCCAATTCTCTTGGAAGGCATTCACAACCAAATGAAAAGCGAAACAACTTCCACACTCGGAATTCATTCAACGCCAACAAATTTGGCGCCAGCTATTCCCCTAATGTAAGCAAAATTGCAGTTGTTCGAACTTTCCCTTGCTTATTTTGCGAAAGCGAAAATCATGCTTCGGAAAAATGCGTTATGTCTCCGGAAGAAAGGAAAAAGAGTTTAAGGGCTTCTAATCGGTGCTTTCTTTGTTTCGAAAGGAATTGTAGAAAAAAATTGCCCTTCTCAATTAAAATGTTCAAAATGTAATTCTAAGTATCATAATATATTGTTGCATGAAGATAAGGAAAGGGTTGCTAAAGAAGAAATTAAGAATAATTCTAACGCCGTAACTGCAAAGATTTCTTCTAAATATTTTACTGCGAATCAAGAGGTTAAAGAATTAATAGATGACTTGCCAACCGTTAAACTTATATGTGATGGTAAATTAATTAATG